ATATGTAGGGTCTGAAATTTTCATTGTTCATTATTCATTCAGGCTTCTTACTATTTTGCATGCTGTTCAAGGTTTTCTTTTACCTGCTGCAGAGGCCTCACATTTTTTCTTCAGCCAGTGGCCATGCTAGAGGATTCTCCTGGCACCCTGGTCAAGTGTGTGATCTGTGACTGACACTGTGTTGGCAGAAGCCCTTAGCATAGTGCTATATCGGGAAGAGCTGAACTACTTTTGAGATTCCTTCTCCTGTAAGCACAGCTCCTCAGCAGTAGAGTGGTATTATTGGACCAGTTAAGTGCCGATGATAAAACTTTATCTATGGATAACTCAAAGGTTGGGAAGTCAAACTGCATCTGTAAATTACAGAAATTGCCATTGTTTCTCCTAATTTAGATGGAATGTGTTCTAGTTACTCGGTAACAGCAGTTGTTTTTTGTAGTGAATGTTGCATAACTTCAACATGCTGGAAGAGTAAACTGTTCAGCACTTAACTGCATTAATTGTTACCCTGTTGATTCATGTTTTTTTACTTACTCCATGACAAGTTCTTAGCAAGTTTATACCTTCCATGTCTGACAAGAGCAACCACTGCTTAGTCACTTGAGGTAATGTGTTGGTTGCTCAGTATTTTTTTTCTCCGTAAGTAGAAGTCCTTTCCAAGCCTGTGCTAGCAGAAATCTCGCCCCTTAACTCTTTCAGCAAGTTCATAGGCTAACCGTGGTTTTGGTATATGAGGATGCATCGAGCAGCATGGAATTGTGTTGCAGACAAAGCTGTTTAGGTCCAGAGTTCATGGTCTTTGCCCATTTTACTCTGAGCTGGGTATAGGCTTTCAGCACAGTGGTGAGTGAATGTGGCTGAACTCCTTGGCTTGTGTGGTGCCACATGTCAGGATCAATAGCCAACTGGTATGGCTTCATTCCATTATCTATTTTAATAGCAATTGCTAAAAGTTGCCAAACTCACTGCTGTGACATTAGATCAGCATATGAATGAATTAAACCCCTTTGTCTACATACAGTTGTGTTGGTACTCTGAATTGATCTAAGCAAGTTGTGTAAAAAGTAACTTCTGATGTACTGTGCACCTGTTGCCTAATAAATCTCACTATCGATGTACTGTAGGTCTTCCGTGTTTCGTGCTAGCTATAATGGACAGGTGTAGGAGCTCTCAAACGTGTAATAGCAGTAGAACAATTGTTAGACTCTGGGTAGCCCATGTGCAGCTTGCTTATTCGTGGTAGGCTTGAATGGCAAACCCATTTAAAAGGAAGGTGACTGATAGAGAATGTTGACAAATTGTACTGTAAAATTGAGCTTAATTATTTCTGATTATAATATGTCCTTGCTTGCTCTTGGAATTTACATCTTTAGATCATGGGGAAATACTTTTTCTCATAGGGGTTTTAGTGCTAAGGGGAATCTTAAAACCATTCATACTCAGTTAATGCCTTTCAGTATAGGTCTGAGATAAGACTCAAGATGAATGTTAGTAAAAGAAAAAGGAAAGATAGCTATTGAGTAATAGCAAGTATTCAGAAAACTACTTTTTTTTTTTTTTTTTTTCGTACCTGTTGTCATCAAGAGGTTCTTCTCACTTGGAGAGGAAAAAAAAAATAGGTCTAGACTAGGTCCTTTTTTAATCTTTTTTTTTTTTTTTTCCTTAAGTTGATGAATTAGGATGGCAGAAACAGTACTCCCCCCCTCCATGTCATTTGTCAGACAAGGGCTCATGCAAATCCTTTTAAACCAAAACAAAATGCTGAAACTCATGCTTCTGTTGTGAATCACTGTCATCATTGGCTGGCAGCAAATTTCCTTTTCTGCTTCAGAAAACAACCTCCCTTGAATAAATAAAATTCTGAACTGCTAGTTTAATGATATTGGCATGGCTGAGAGTTACTAAGCTTTTTACTCTCGCAGCTGGCACTCTGTCAGAGTTAAGTTGCTGTTTAGGTGCAGTTTCTGAACACTTTGTGGGGAAAGCACATCTGCTGAGGTTAAACTAATAGTTAAATTTTTCAGTGCTATCTAGTCTTTTGACAGTTAGCAATCTATGTGTGTTTAGCAATCTGTGAGTGCTTTTCAAATACACAAGTGTCCTTTGGGTTAAACTCTGGTATAAGACTTGTTTTTGAACAAGTTGCTGAAAGTAGTCCTGACTGCTGAGATATTTTTGTAATTGCAGATAACTTCTGAGCTATTTGCTTATACTCCTGTTGTAGTTAATTGATTATGAACTTCCATTTTTTAAATTGAGCTAGTTTGCTTGTTGCACAGATTATTTGACCAGTAGATGACAAACTGAGTTTTCCTTGCTCTATATGGACCTTCAGTTTAGGGGCAAAAAATGTATGGTGGACCACATAGAATGGCTATGACTCAAGTGAGGATAAGCAGTGGAATTGGAAAATATTGTCCAGAATTACTACATTTGCAAGAAGATGGAAGACGAAGGTGTGAGGTTCTCTGATTACTTGCATGAGGTACATGAAGTTTGCTGGCATAATCTGTTTCTTATTTGTGTATATCTTCAATGTAGCAATTGAGAAGGACTGGAGGGCTGAGAAGCAGCAGCTTAAAAATGTCGTCAGTATTAAATTTAGGGCTTGAGAAACTTTCAAAAACTGATCTTAAGAGTTTTCATATTCTTAGTTGTGCTATTATGGAAATGTATTGCAGCATGTAATGTGAAATTACTTCTTTGATATATTTTAAAATACCAAAAACCCAAAACATACCAAAGCAGAAGGAGAAACCCAGAAAGATTTAGCTTTTTAGTGTTTTTGTCTTTATCAGGTTATGCTGCAGTTAATTAAGTTGAATATGTAACTTAAACAGAAAGTATGAAGCTTTATTTAAAAAGAATTGATTAGTATTCTTTAAAATAAAAGTTGTGGGGTTTTGTTTGTTTAGCTTGTTTCATAAGTTAATCATTTATATACTTACATTGTAAAAGAATCCACTATATTTTGCTGTTTTCTCTATGGTAAAAGAGTTTCATGATTGCTAAGAAAATAAATCTCATGAGGATCATTATTTTGAAGAGTTGAGCTTTAAACTTGGCAATGGGTTTTGTCATCATTTGGGCTTAGAGACATATGTTTTGTTATTTTTAATGCACAATTTCTATAGAGTCTGTGTGGGATCCATTTTTCATGGGTATGGGATCTAAGTGACTTTTTAAATCTGAGTCCTAATCAGAATGGGCTTCCTGGTTGGATAGAGCTCTATCAGCATTTGTGTTTATAATGTCAGCCATTCAATTCAACAGTGTATTGCATGCATATGGAGGACTGTAGCAGACCCACGTGACACGTTGCAGAGATTAACCATCTAAAAAGCTAGGAGTCTAGTTTAAGGCAACATAAACAAAAACATTTTATTTCTTTCTTGCCCTGGGTGTTACTGTTGACTTTATTACATGATAGCGAGTTGTGCTCCAACTCCAGACTCCCTATCCCCAAAATTCTTGCATCATGCTATGTGTGGGCAGAGGTAACCATGGAGTTAGCACCTATTCAAGGATTCATTTCTGTATAGTTGTTTGTGTGGTCTGTGGTCATACTACTGTTACTCAGAGCTTGCTCTGGTAAGAGAGTATCAGAGCTTACTCTGATAACAGTTACTAATTTTAATGGGTTTTCCTGTGGCATTGGGATTGTGCTCTAAAGTTTTTGGTCCCAATTGCATGCACTTGGGCTTGTTTCAACACTTCATGCTTCCCAGGAACCAGGAGAGCACCATCGACAGTCTCAGAAGGACAGATTTCTTGTTTCTGGTTACAATTCCTGTTGCACACCTGACACTGTAGCAACCATTGCATTTGGATATTTTCCAGTAGTCCTCATCCGAAGCATGTGTTTCATGCAGGGACTGCAGTACAGGGCTGTCAAAGTGTATAGGATGGAGTAGACAGATTGGTCAGCGTGCGGTGTGTGTTGGAGTAATAGATTGCAGAATCACAGAATGGTTTGAGTTGGAAGGGACCTTAAAATTCTAACCCCCCTGCATGGATAGGGACACTTCCTACTAGGTTGCTCAAAGCCCCATTCAACCTGCCTGTGAATGCATCCACAACCGCCTGGGGCAACCTGTTCCAGTGTCTCACCACCCTCAGAGTAAAGAATTTATTTCTAATGTAATGTAAATCTGCCCTCTTCCAGCATAAAACCATTGCTCGTTACCTTATCACTGCACACCTTGGTGAAAAGCCCCTCCCCAGCTTTCCTGTAGTCCCCTTCAGGTACTGGAAGGCTGCTATGAGGTGTCCTCAGAGCCTTCTCTTCTCCAGGCTTAACAACCCCAACTCTCTCAGCCTGTCTTCATAGGGGAGGTTGCTCCAGCCCTTGGATCATCTTTGTGGCCCTTATCTGGAGTTGCTCCAAGAGCTCTATGTCCTTCCTGTCTCAAGGGCTCCAGAATTGAACACAGTACTCCAGTACTACAAGTCTCTGGGCTAAAGGAAATGACAGTAATGAGAAAGTATTAGTTGAGTCATAGTGTAGACTTAGTCTCTGCAATCTTAAATAATTTATACATACTGGGAACACATGTATGAACGTAACACCATGGCCCATGTCACCTGTTTGGTTTTTTTGGTACCAAGTGTCATGGCTTAACACTGGGCTGGCAATTAAATGAATGACAGATTGCTCTCTGTTAAACTCCTACCTCCGTAAAGGAAAAAGAGAGGAAATAAGGGAGAGAGACTCTTACGGGTTGGAAACTAAACTACACAGCTTTAATGAGACAGTAGTGATGAAAAGTAATGAAATATATACAAATATACACAAAAACACTATTGTGCTTCCCCTCCCCAGTTCCCAATAATGCCCACATCACCACCGAACCTGCAAGGCAGGCCTTGGAAAAGTCCTGGACTCAACTCCTGGAGTCAGTGGCAGACAGGAGCTGGGATGCAGGAATGTTGGGGTGCAGGAACACAGGGGTTGGGATCAAAGGCAGGTGAACAGATGGAATCCTTCCAGGATGCTGGCCATGGATGAAGAAAGCAACCCCCTCATGATCCCTCAAATGTATATACAGTATGATGTGTATGGGGTGGGATACTTCATTTAGTTAATTTTGGCCACCTGTCTGGTCCACTTCTCCCCGAAGGAGGGTCTCAGGTGTCGCCCCTTTAATCCCTTCTGGTTCCAGAGCATAAGATGTTTCCTTTAGAACCAAGCAGTGGCCTTGGTTCTACATGCCATTCTCTCGCCCTAACTATAAACACGGGGCGTTCTCGGTCCTAGAAGCAGACACTGACTGAAAAACATACTGTTAATTTCAGCAACTGCAGCTACTTAGAAGACACTTCACTGAAAAGTAAAGTCACAAAAAGGAAATTAGTTCTATCCTAGCTCAAACCAGAACACCAGGTAAATTGGAACAGCACTGAGTGTATATATTATTTCACAAAGACAGTTCTAATATGGTTTGCTGTAGAAATGCAGAAGGAAATGTTCAGGCAGACTTTCATGCATTTAAGTTTGCCTTAGTTAAGAGAAGTGTTGTATTGGGAGCTAAATGTAGGACATACTTGAAGTAAACGTAACCTTTTCAGACATAAGTAGTTTCTTCAAAACTTAACCTTTCAAAAACACAGTTACATGACTCAGTAAAAATATTTGCACTCTTAATTCTGGTTTGTGTAGCCATAGAGTTACAGTGTAAAGAAAGGGCTGAAGTTAACAATCTTTTATCAATTTTAATTTAAATAATTAAAAAACAAAGCCATGCAGATTATCCTATACTGTGAGCAATGGAGATGTTGATGGGTGACCTATGAGAGAAGAGATTTTCCGGCAGTAGGGATACTTAAGAAATTCTCTGTCTTATATGGTTTCACTTGGAAGTGCCTGTAGGATACAGTGCCTGTAGGATACTTTTTGTTCTATTTGGATGCCTATTTTTATGTAGGAACTAGAAGTGGTACTCATTATCTGATTCTCTCATGCCATGATAGGGAAGTAGGCCTTAAGAGAGGGATTGTACAGCAACTCTTGGGTTCCCTTCAGATTTTCAGTATCAAAAATCATCTAGATGCTAAGAATGATCAGGCTGGCATGAAATGAGCAGATATTAAGGGAAAAAAGCTGATGAAACTCAAAGATGCTTTCAAGTTAGTTTTACAGCAATCTGGGTGTGGTTTGGTGATGACAGTGGATGAGGGGGGAGATGAGATAGAAGCATGGTCAAAGAGCAGCATTGACAATTGCCAGCAAATCCTAGATGATCTTTTAAATGCATGTGATTCAAGAGGTGAGATGTAGTTAATCCTGCAGCTATTTTTTAAGGCATTACTGCCCCCACGTTGTACTGTTTCACTCTTCAGAGGGGTTGGTAGGATGGCATGTGTGTTCATACCTCTGTTTGTTTTGTTCTGCCAGGTTAGCTTGAGCTTTTCCAAAATGTTGATCTTGAAACAAGGCCATGCAGGAGGAGGAGAAATCCAGATGATGAGTGTTAGGATCATTTGCAGCTCTGCATTTCTTGAATGTGGGTCATAACACCTTTGATAAGGACAGGCTTTTAACATCTGATTACTTATAAACTAAAACAGTTGATAACTGATCTGTAAATCTAGGGGTTACAGGTAACAATGTTGGTTTCTGCAGAAATGCAGATGATCGACAAGTGATGCAGAAATTAAAGATTCATTTAGCGGAATCACAGGCCAGTTAGCAAAGTTTTCAATCCTTTGCTAAAAATGACAGACTGATGGTCCAGTGCTTTGTATGAGTGGTTGAATGAAGAAGGTTATGTGAAGGCTATAGAGGACTTAGCTGTAGTTTATTTATCTAGTGTATGGAAT